GAAGATTCAAGATTAGAATGTGACGAGCTCGAGACGACTATACATAGAATATAAAGAAGATGTAGGGGTTTTAGCCTGAAAAGGCACTACGCCCGAAGTACCAAGCATGAAGCAGCAAAAGGAAAGTTTGGATGGCAATTTAGATGGTTATGTTAGAACTGGTGACGTTAGCGCACAATAGAATGCTTGAGCTTGAGTCGGTGTTTTTTCTTTAATTTAAAATTGGTCCGAGATCCTGTGCAACTCTTCACATTTGAAGTAGGTATCATTTCTTGTCTCAACGACAAGATTGACAATGCTGACCATCGCACCAGTTCCGCTCGTGAGAAAAAACCGCTGCTCATCTCGACTTCCTTTTTTTTGTTGACAGCAACGGACAAGCGGCCCTTCAGGTGTACGGTGCGGGGTCATTTCAAGATATCAAGTCAGAGTGTGATGAGAGACGAGCTGTGCGAGATTGACGAGAGTCGTGAGAGACATTCGAATTTCCGAAGTTCAAATGGTCCTATAAGTGGTCAAGGTCGTTACGTGGTGCCTTTTACGATGTCGAGGGAAGAAGAAACCATCGAGTTGGAGATGGCACGGTCGCAGCTAAGACAATTGATGGATGAATGTGCAGCACCAAATACAGAAGCCATGAACAAATCGTGGACTCGAGTCAAGTCTGGAAAGAAGTCACTTGGCGTCATTCTTTGGGAGAGGCGTTCTACACGAGAAGCAAAGAAAAATGGATGGGGTGGCTTGTCTTCAATGAGTCAACACGACTATATTCCAATGACATATAGTATTCGAAGCAGCACGACTGTATGTGCACCAGTGGAAATGGTACTTAAGACTCTAGATGCTTCGGTGGCAACAGCTCATCGATCTTTCACTCGAATCATTTACGGCAACCTTGTGGCTGACGCGGCTGTTCTGTACCATAGCTCAACACCCAGTCCCGATCCGTTGGCAAAAAATGAGAGTGATAGCATGGAATCTCTTGCTGTACGCTGGTTTGTCTGCCGCTGTAGTAATCCCGTCGTCTTAAATTGCGACTTTTGTCTTCAAGAGTACACGAAACGACACTCGATTGATGAGCTTTCACTCAATTCTGATTACTTGAACAATAACAAGCTTGATAATGACGACACAGTATGGGGTGGTAATCATCAAGGACTGCATCCAATTAATGAAAAGCCAATTGCTTACAAGCTTTTTCAGTCGACAGAGAATCGCCATTGCCCTGAATTGCTTGCATCACATCGAATCGTACGTTGCAACGTACCTTTAGGCGGATATCTCTTGTATCCTACCAATAATAGTGACAAGACTGATGTCGTGTTTTTCATGACCATTGCTCAAGATGAAATTAACAGAAATTCAGCATCGAACAATGCATCATGTAGTGATCGACAATTTCGTGCACTTCAAAGCGTCGTACGACAGATGGCTCGCCAAATAGGTCGCTTGGACAATGCCGTGGAATCGTATAAGTTGAGCTTGCATCTTGAATCGCTACGCTCTTTGCAATGGGTGCAAAACACTGAACGGAACGAGTGTGTCGTTTGTTTCAGAAGATTTCATCAGCTCACTCGACGTAAACATCATTGTCGCTTGTGTGGAGAAGTCATCTGCCGTGATTGTTCGGTACATAAAGATGTTGATCTGCCTACTTGCGGACTTACTGCACTGCGAATCTGTACGAGTTGTAATAAGGTACAACGATCGAAGACACCGCAAGCTTTTGTTTCATCAGAAAAACCACGAAGGCGCCGGGGGACAATAAATACAAGTCAAATCATAAGTTACTCCTATACCGAGACGCTGGAAACTCCTGTCCGGCACAAAAGTAACACTTTCCGTGGTAAACCTAATAAGTTTATAGTTGAGAAACGAGAGAAAATGCTAGAGGAACGACAGCCAGTGGAAGCCGTAGATGCGCAAAAGGTGCATGAACAAGCTGCTAGTTGCCCCAAACCTGCACTTGAAGGCGATCAGTGTTCAAAATTCTGGTGCGATCCTCGACAAAAGAAGGCATCGATTTTGACGCCAGGTACTAGTACTGCAAATTCAGCATCATTGCCATTTGGGCTGCCTCGGTCATCCTCAGAAACATTCTCGGCTTTTCCGCATAGCTTATCAAGTCACTTTACTCAACAGACAAAAGCTGATCTCCAAAGCGATGACCGTGAAGACGAAGATAAATTTGAAAATCTTGCTGACAGCTACAATTCTGGTCTTGAATTGGTATGGAGTTCGACATCTTGTCGCCGGCATGCAGTTTACGATGTGAAAAATGGAGTGTTACAGCCAAAAAGCGAACGAAACCTGAAGAGTATGTCACATGCTACTACAAATAATCAAAGTCAGCAAGATAGATTATTGATTCACCGAGAATTTGAGTCGCTGAAAATGTATGAAGACATTTTTCTCAGACTTTGTGAGCATTCGGCTTCAGTGCGAAACTCTAGCTTTGTTGCACTGACATTATTCGCGAAATCTGACAAGAACCAGCATAATGAGACCGAGTCAGAATTTTCGACTATCCAGTATTTGAAGGCTCGAGGAAGGTCTACGCTAATCCGTGTAGCGGCGAACATGCGTTGCTGTGACCCGGTGCTAAAGCTAAGTAAACCAATAATTACACGTAACACGTTGGCTCTTGAGGGGAAGCTAGCAGTCCATCCATCAGGATACGATTTTCGGCAATTACCAATAGTCATGGGCCCACAGCAAGCGAGGTTCTACGCTGGGGTACCGCTTACCGACTCAAAAATGCGATATCGGTATGGCGCTATTGCCATCTTCGATGCTGCATCCAGTACTGGCATGGATAATGACTTGCCTATGATAAAAACACTGCAAGCACTGCAAGTATGTGTACGCGAGGCAGTCATGGCTGTAGATGAAAGGAGGAAGGATCTAGAATTACGGATGTTTCTGCAAGCACCTTTGATTCAGTTACGACAATCTGAACCGGCACTACATCTCAGCATGGACATACCCAAGTCAAATTTAGATTGGCAGGATATCGAGAGCCTTGACGGGGATGACGACAAGGATGACGATGATGATTCCAGAAGTTGCATTGAATACGACACTAGGAATTTAAAGTTGAGAAGCAGTCCTGGGTTCCAGGCTAATGGCAGCTCTCGTGTGGGCAAGGCCCGAGCTGAGCATTTTCGGAAAAAGATGCAAGAGCTTGTGCGACAGGCTCAAGATACCCAGGCACAAATGGTCGAAAACACGCTCGTTATGGAACGTCAAGGGGTTCCTATCGTCTAACATTTTCGTACCATATCTTTCTTTAATACTAGTCGAACTGACTTGCATGTTCCATTGTCTTAATTAAAGCCTGGTGCGAACAAACAAAGCTAATCTTTTTCGGCGTCAAAAACCTCGTACATTTTTGAGCGAAAAGCCAGCACCTTAGAGTTCCACCCCTCCCGTACGTATTTGTAATATTCGTGCTCACGACTGTGAAATGGTTCGTAATGCCTTTTTCCACGCGTCTTTAGCTGTGACCAGAATGATAAGAAGCCATGTAAAATTCTTGACATGACGAACAGCAAAAAAGAATTGCAACGTACATGGTCACCATTGAATTTGTCCTTTACCTGGTTTATCGAGTATATTACGATGCTCTCACGTTCGAGCAACTGATACTTGACGGTACCGTAGCGCAGCCCGCCAACTGCAACCCCAGCTACAAAAGCAATGAAGGACATCGCTGCTTTTGTACTAGGAGGGTTCAGAGATTCCAACTTGAATATTTGTCTTGAAATCTAAACTCTACATTATTAAAGACAAATTTTGTTAATGAAGCTAAATTCCTTAAATTACCTGACAGAAAATTGAATTTAATTGACATACAAGCTTACGATTCATGAAGACCTACCACCCTAGGTTCCGACATGGGTGTCTAGACTGTGACGGGTCACACGGCACCTTGCACAGAGGAAGA